CTTGTTGCAGGAGGAGGAGGACGAGGAGGAGGTGTAAGAGGAGGAAGGGGAGGAGGAGGAGGAGGAGGAGGAGGAGGAGGAGGAGGAGGAGGAGGAGGAGGAGGAGGAGGAGCAGGCGGTGTCTCATCTCTGGCCGCCGGAACTCGATGATCAGGGCAGGCAGAAGCGCAGCACACCTCCTTCGTTGCCTGCATCTGCTCCCCGTTCTGTTGCTCCTCCTGCTGCTGCTTCTCCGTCTCCTCCTGTCTCTCCCTCTTTCTCCTGCTTCTGCTTTTGCTCCCCCCTCCTCTTCATCCTCCTCCTTTCTCCCTCTGCCCTTCCTCTCTCCCTCCTGGTCCTCCCAGTCCCTTCTCCCTTTTCCCCTTACCTTTTCTATTCACGCCTAGCTCGTCCCTGGCGTGAGCTCTTGTATCCACCTCTGTGATCGCCCCTTGTCAGGCACTGGCTGCTCGAACTGGGGTGCTGCCAGGATAGGCGAGGTGATAACAAATATGTGGAACCACCACATGTGCGCCAAGGAGTGTCAGTACACGGAAGGCAGTCGCGTCGCGAGGAGGAGGAGAAGGAGGAGGAAGAGGAGGGTGAGAGGGGAGGAGGAGGAGGAGGAGGAGGAGGAGGAGGAGGAGGAGGAGGAGGAGGAGGGTGAGAGGGGAGGAGGAGGGGAGGAGGAGGAGGAGGAGGAGGAGGAGGAGGAGAAGGAGGAGGATGATGAAAAGGAGGAGGGGGAGGAGGAAAGGAGGAGGAGGAGGAGGAGGAGGAAAAGGAGGATGAGGAGGAAAGACAGGGGAACATGAAAGGGTAGAGAGGATGATCATGCTGTGAATGAAGAGTTGGAGAAGTGTGAATAACGATGGGATGACGAGAATGAGAAAAAGCAGAAGAATGGGCGGAGTAGTAGGAGGACTGGGGTGAGCAGGAGGAGGTGGAGGAGGAGGAAGAAGAGGAAGAGGAGGAGGAGGAGAAACAATAAGAGGAGGAGGGGGAGGAGGAGGAGGAAATGTTAGAACATTGCCTAATTACTGGGTGAGAAGGATGCAGGTGGTCATCCGGAAATTCAAGCGGGTCGTTTTTGCCGCTCTTCTTTTGGTCAGGTGTTGGCGTTGCCGTTGACATTTGGCTCACGTTGCATTCGCCTTCAGGGAAAGTGGCTCCTGCCATCTTTTGTGGCAGCGGAGCCAGTGGTTCGCCCCACGGGCTCCAATGCACGTGGTCAAGCCCGCGAAGCACGCGTCTCCCTACAATGGCCGCGGCGGCTGCCGCGGCGGCTCCACCGACCACTGGTGCAGCGGACCCGGGGTGCAATGTGACTTTATCCGAGGTCCGAGAGGTGTGGTGCAACCTGAGCACGAGCCGACCCGCGGAACTGTGCAACGTCGGTAGCGAGACTGGAGGCGTCAGGCGCGTCAGCGCAGCATTCAGGGCCAATCATGAAGATATGCAGTTCGTATTCGAATGCAGAGCTACCCTAGGTACCAGCATGGTGGACACCGACGAGGCGTTCACAATGTTGCAGATAAGCTACATGTTGAATGCCCTCTTGATATCGGTCACCAGCCGCAACGTGTACCGGGAGGAGCTGTTCAACAGCATGAAGTAACATGCTTGGACGGAGCTGCAACGTCAAGCAAAAGCCGCGGAAGGTGTTACCGAGATCGCGGAGGCCATACAGTATGCTGGAACACCAGGACTGGGCGAGGTGGAAGCAAGCCCGTGGGCGGTACAAGTCGGTTCAAAAGTTAAGCGTTCTCGGGCGACCAGGCCAAATGCAGGGAATTGTGCGACAAGCTGTTTAATTCGTTCGCCCGAGTATTTTTTGTTTTGGGAAGGTGAACAGCAAGCTCGAGGCCATGGGAGGTGCATTCGACGAAGATGATTATACAAATCATTAAGGGGAGGTTAGCGCTGAGCGAATACACCAAGGCACCACATACGAAAAACAAGAAGGCGACGCGACATGGGAATATGAGTTAAACGAGGACCACCAGGCCAAGTTGGACGATGACCTCTGGTATGAGTTGAACGACACTTTGGAGGGGACGGACCCCCCCGGAAAAGGTTAAATATCTTCACGAAGGCGACGGCTTTATGGTACACCATCATATATACACATAGTATTGTTTCGTAGCTGTAGTGGCGCTCTCCTTCAGTCTGAACCTGAGAATGAACCCCGAAAATTCCGAGGCGGTGAACGATGTTGCGACCCAGCTCGAACAGTATAACGCACTGGTGGAGTCTCTGGAAAAGTCTGGCTTTGCATTTTCGTTACCGCTACCATGCAGGGTTACCACGCTGGGGCTATCAAGACCCACGCGGATGGTTGGTGCGACGATTGGCAACAATATTGCTTCATGGCGCCAGATTCGTTAAACGTTGACGGTAACTTTCAAATTGGATGGTGGCACGAAGGACGATAATTCTATGGAAAGCGGCCAAATCAGCGACGAAAGTGCTGGTGGCTGGGGTTCAGGCGTACGTGATTTTGGTTGCCACGGTGAAAGTGGAAATCTGTGGACCTGGACTGTGGAGGACGTGGGCGGAAACGGCGACACCCATAAAGCATGCAAAGGGAAGGGTAAAAGTGAAGGGATCATGTGTTACATGTGTGAGGGATGTGGGCATGTCGCCAAAGACTGCGCCACCAAAGATGCCACGACGTAGAACGAGGGAGCGCAAAGAAACCATGGGTTGCCAAGTTTCGCTGGCAGGGGGGCCCACGGAGGGAAAGGCCAGGGCCGGGGCAGGGGCCAGGGCTGGGACCAGGACCGGCCCCCCACCACAGGGGTAACCTCTCCCTGTCCCCCTAGTCCATAACTAGGTGGGACCAGCCCCCAAGACCCGCCGTAGCCCCCAGGGAGCGGTAATCTGACCCAGGCCCAGTTAACCATCCCCGCCCAACCTTCCCCCCCTCTACCTCTCCCCTCTGCCCCCCCCCCTCCTGGGAAGGAAATCTACTTCACCACGACGTTTCATTGTTTTGTTCGTTCCTCAGCCCCCGTCGGACTGGCGACGACGACGACGACGCGACGACCACGACGACGAATATGACGACAGCGTCTCATACACTCCGAAGAGTCGGCGGATTAATCTTGCTTGCTTTCTGTGAAACATCTTATCAAACTGTACACCAGTCCGCCGAGGCCGCTGTCCGTCCCCATTGGCAGATAGTTTGAGGGGTTCGATTCGGCCTGCGCTCAGGGCCCGCTCGTGTTTTCACAGTCGGTTCGCGTGGGGCGCCGTGCCTACTTGCTTCTCTCGACATATTCGTAGGACACTTGCGTATTGCACTGCGTTTCGCCTTCGTTCTAAATCGCCGCGCCGTAGACAGCCCGCCCGCACTGGCACCTTGAAAACCGCATGCCCGCATGACTGTTGTGTGTGTGTGTGTGTGTTTTGGTATTTGCAAAAATCAAACGAATCAGTTTACCAGGCTTTTTTTTTTCTCCTAAGTTTTCAAGGAAACAGGTGCGCCAGTTGATCGGCATGATCATACCTAGGAGTTGCATTAATCACTGAGCCTGTCGTCGAGGAAGGGTGAGGCGGAGGATGAAAAGGGGAAAATGAGCAAGGGATAAGGATGGCGGATGACGAAGGGTGTGTCTGGTGGTGATGATGATGACGATGCTGATGATAGTGATGATGGCGACGACGACGGTGGTGATGATGTCGATGATGACGATTGTGATTGTATTTATGATGCGGATGGTGATGCTGTTCGTGATGATGTTGACGCCGAGGACGATGGTGATGTTGTTGATGATGGCGATTCTTGGAGCAACCATCCAGCGGATCCACTGTCCCCAGGGTTGGGGGCAGTTCGCTTCTGTTTCCCCCCACGGAAAAAAAACGGTTCACAGAGCAGATCAGACGCCTTGATGTTCTTTCTTTTTCTTCTTCTCCGTGCTCCAGTCCTGCGCGATTTGCAAGCCTCTAAATTCCCGCCCTTGACCGATCATTGCCAAGGTTTGCGTGCCCACCTGCCTCTTTTCGCCGCCGCACACTTTGGGCAGAGCCTTCAGCTGCTTTCGCCCGAACGCTCCACACATCGTACAGTCGTGCACTTCCAGCGTCCTGTCGTAGCGGGGCGCGTGGCTGGGGTGTATCGCTTGATGTCCCACTCCGCCTCCGCCTGCACCAACTCCACGCAGTCTTCTGCCAGCCACGTCTTTCTCCTGAGCTCCAGCACGGGAAACCCGCAGTTCTCGCATACATAGTGTTTCGGCTTATCTTTTGTTTGGAGCTTTTTGTTCTTTACGGGCTTCAGCAACCGATGTTCCTTCTTCACTCCTTCCTTTCTCTGCGCCTTAGCCTGGGGTTGCGACGGCTCGGCTTCCACTGCCGCCATTGAAGTTGCCGTCGTCTTGCTTCGGGTAGCTGCCGCTATTCCTTCGACCCAACATACCTTCCTCGCTTCCGACAAAATGGACCTGCACCTCCATGCTCATCTCCACCAGGTCGCCCGCCAAACTGTTGTCCTCCAGCGTTCATTAATTCCTCCGCTTTCATGTGGCTCTCGACCTTCATCATCTCCAACTGCTTTTCCGCCCATCGCCCTCTTGCTTGCGCCCCACAGGTCGATGTGAGACCTTGGCATCTTGCCAGCCATCAACCTCTTGACGCCCCGCATGACGTAGCTCGAGTCCGCGATGTCCTTCATCCTCGGGTGGTCCTTCGCCTTCTCCAGCAGCTCCTTCATCGCGTACAGTTCGCCGCGGTTCACACCCCGCCGCCATCCAGGAAGCTTTTCGTGACCTCCAGCACTGAGCAGGGAAGTCTCCCCACCGCGGTTGAGAACGACTCGCGCCCGAACCAGTCGCCTCGTCTTCGGATCCGTCGTGTGCTCGCCGCCAGACGCGCCGCTTGCCTGCCCAGAGTCAGCCCTCTTCGTCTGTGCTTCTGCACGAACGAAATGGGCACGGAAAGAATGGGTACAATGCTCAACAGAAGTTCCAGCTCATTTTGAACAGGACTTGCTGTCCGCGCCGCCGCGGCCTGTGTCCATT